GATAAAAGGGGAAAAAAAACAAGGCTTTGTTTTGCAAAACTTGTCTCCCATGTTCCTGCTCTCTGGAATGATGAAATAAGGTGCTCAAGGGATGAGACAAGGAGAGAGTTATAGCAAGGAGCAACCCATCAAATCCATGTTGCTCTCCTGTCTGTGTGCCAAGTGCCGTATTTACTCTCACTTTTATTTTCGCAGCCCGCTCAGCCGATGCTGGCTGCACTATCAGACAGAGCCAAGGCACCATTAAGCCTTTCTGCAGGAATCTGCAGGGTGAGCCGTTCCCACAACATGTCAGTAGGTGGCAAAAAGCTACAACCCTTGTGCTGAGCAAGAAATAAATATTTTTCTTACTCCTGCAAGAACAGGAGGTATCTCTGGGCAGCTCCATCCTGTCGATGGAGATGGATTGTGCTCCTTCTGGGCCAGATATCCCTGTGCCAGCACTACTGAGAGGGAGGGAACATCCCAGAAAGGGCAACATCCCATACAGTGAGCAGGTAAAAAGGCTCAGAAGAGAAACAAGAGCTGCTTCCCTCCTCTTTATTCATCAGGAGACCCTTGTGCCATCTCTTGACCTTGCTCAGGAATTATTTAAAGAAAGCTGGAAACGTCTTTCCAGCATTGGAAAACAAGAATTTTAGGGCTCTGCCATCGTGGTGTAGCCTGAGGATACCTAGTTAGACAAACCAAAATGTGCCACAGTTGATATTTTTCAAGCTGATGATAATACTTTAATCTTCATGTACAACCTGAAACAGAGCCGCTCAAGTCGATGTTCTTGGGTGCTTTTCTCTGGTGGCTTTGTGTAAGCAGATTGAAGCAATCCCAGCTGCCCGTCACACACCTTCCAGTGAGGCAGGGCAGATAAAGGGTTTAAAGAGGTTAGTGGATGTATCCCGGTGCCTTTGACAGTGGGGTTTTTTTCTGCATTTGAATGTGTGCCTGTGTTGGGGAAGGGAGGATGCTGTATGATGCTGAAAACTTGTGTTCCTGAGGAGGTCAAATACGCTGAGCACCAGGTGAGGCAGAGCCCAGGAAGGTTAGAAAATCACATTAATCCAGAATGCTCAATGAGATCTGGTTATAGCGTGGCTTTGTTCAGCTTTATTTACCCAACACTTCTCTTTACTAAGTGTAAGTAAATACTTTTTCAGTTCAGGAATGATAACAAAGTTGTAACAGCAACCTTGGCTTCAAGGTCTCTGAAATACCTTCCTGCTTTTTTAGAAACAGAAGTGAGGTTCATTGACATTTCCTCTTATGAGCTGTACATTTAATTGTTAATGATTTTGCCAGACGTTAACCACTGGTGCTGACTTTCCCCAGCTTGGTTGTCTGCTTCAGGCTGAGCATTATAATTTTGTTTTAACATTTCAACCCAACCGGTTCAGCTAAACCTGAGCTGGAGGAACTTGCGTTGCTCTGGCCATGTTCATACCACCAACAAAACATCCTATAACAACTTAACTGGGAAGATCAAATGTCCTTATGCTTTGGAGCAGGGATCTGTCTGACTGACATGTCCCCTTTCTCCAGGCCCTTGCCATTTGCTGGTACCTGTAGCCATGTCATTAACAGCATAAAATCTCTATTCTTTGTCATTTTGGTGAAAAATGACGATGTGCATTCTCTGAAGGTGCTGCATCTGGGCTGAGCAGCCTCTGCCTCACACAGCTGCTATGTGGAGACACGTTTAACCTGCAGGATGGGTCCAGCCTTGCCTCAAGGCTGGGTGGCTGGTGTGAGGTAGCCACAGCAACACCTTTTTAGCCAGTAGGAGAGAGGCTTCACACCCTTAGAGAGCCATAGTTGGAACAGGTTGCCCAGAGAGGTGGTAGAAGCCCCATTCCTGGAAACATTCAAGGTCAGGTTGGACGGGGCTCTGAGCAACCTGATCTGGTTGAAGATGTCCCTGCTCACTGCAGGGTGGTTGGACTAGATGGTCTGGAAAGGTCCCTTCCCACCCAAACCATTCTATGATTCTATAATTAGGTCAGACAAACCCCACTCTACTTCCCTTCTCTGAAATCTCCTCTGTTGGCTTTCCCTCCTGTGAGTATGCATTGCTCCACACCACCAAAATCAAACCTCATCATTATCCTTTAAAACCCATCCTGCACCCGTGTCTGCCAACCGGGATGCTCCATCCTCTCCTCCCCAGGGAGGCATGCTGGCGTCAAGGCGAGGGGCCCTGCTAAAACACAGGCACTGGTTCCTCTGGTATGTGTCTCAGATTGAAGCTGTGTGGGCTCAATTACGTTGAGTGGCAAGTTTCATCCTCTCCGTAGTTGGCTGTAATGACTCAGCCTTCAAATGATGAGTTAATATCAAGCATTTGGGATCGGGAGCTATTCAGAGACAAACAGCTCTGTAAAGTCTTTCTGGCTGAGTTGCAGTGCACGCCTTGTGGGGTTTTTTCAGTCTTCTGTAATTTGTAGATAAGTCTAAATTTCACCTTTAGTAATAGAGAAAACATTTTCATTTCCAGCCTCTGGAAAGGATGTTAGAAAACATGAGAAGAGGATGAGTTGCTGTCTGCCTCTCTACAGGTTATGATGAATTAATACAACCAAGAGCTGCACAGTCAAACAACTCTGAGCACCAGAAGTAGAAAGCAGGTTTGCTGGTATTATCACCTCCATAAGAGCAAACTTTGCATGCTGTAAATTGATAAATTAATGCTCAGCATGTCTTTTCTGCACAGGCTGTGATAGGGATCGATTGGTCCACACGCTCTTCTCCGTGGGCAGCAACATGATTATTGGAAAACTAATCAGCTCTATCTCAGATAAATTGCATTTCCACCAATTATAGCTTAATTGTTGACAGATGGGAACACAGAAGGGAGATGTGTCACATCATTAAGAGGACAGGTGTATAGACAAGTGCCAGATTAATTGTTCCAGCCCATTAAATCATTGACCTTTTCAGCATACCCTCAACGTGGAATTCAAAGCTCTCATGATATTTCTAGCTCACACATGATGACCGTGTTTATCATCAAAGTTCTCAGGGACATTTTTAAAACACACAGACTCTGGATACAGACTCATTAGCCGAGAGCAGTTCTCCTTTCTCATTTAAATCAGTTCCCTTCTTCCTCCTTCTCTGTGTTGGGGTTTGTTTTCTTGGCTTTTCACACACGGCATGTGGGCTTTCTCCAAGGAGCAATTTTCTCCATGAAGCATGTAGACATGGTGTAATGGGCTATACATTTAGGAGTGTCAAAAAGAGAGAGGTGAAATCAGGACAGAGAAGCTGGGCAGCTGTGCTGGAGGCTCCGGATTTGATTTGGGACTGTGGCTTTGATTTCCAGCTCTTGCTCTGCCTGGGATTTTCAATAAAGCCTGAGAGAGACAAATAGCTAAATACCATTGAAACCAAGTCAGCCATGGTTGTCTAATTCCCCTAAATATGTGTAAAAACATGTCTCCTGCTCTTTTTCTGGCTATGTAATCTAGGAAGCTGAGGATGCAGTGCAGACACATCCAAAACAGCTTTGTGGGATGTAGCACAGGTTTGAGACAGTGATGCCGGACATGCCTCATCTCTCCTGAGCTACCCAAAACCTGTGCTGTCCTGGGTAATTGAGAATTGATTCCAGATCTAGTTAATCTGGATGTCTTGACTTGAAAAATAAGAGGATAAGATTTCCAGCTGAAGGAAATGAAAATCACTGTGATGATAATTGTATTTGTTACTCCTGGAGTCCCTGTCCTGGGCCAATGACCTGCTTTGAAGATGTTTTACCCTTGGGTAGGTTTTAGAGACACCCAGGGAGACAAGCAGGAGATATGAGGAAGGGTTATTGCCCTCCATCAACTCTGCAACTTCAAACGGAGGTAAAATTGGCACTGGGAATCAGGCAGGTCTTCTTCCCAGGGCCAGGGCTGGTGGTGGGCTCTGTCCCTCCCTGGTGTAGCACCAGTCCCCCACATATCCAGTCTGTCACATTAAAATAACCACAAGATGTGTAACTGAAACCCCCGGGAATCATTTCATATATGTGCTTGAATGATCTACCAATTTCCACAAAGATAATGGACCTTGACTGTGGTGGCCTTTACAGACTTACAAAGACAACCAGATAGGAGACAGGAAAACTGGGTGAGGTTCTCTCTCAGACAACAAACTGCTTTATAAAGAAAAAGAAGATAACTTTATGAAAAAAATAAAGTTTAGGAGAAATAGAAACTGAATGGAGCTCTTTGCTAGATCTGGTACCCTTCATATAACCATCTGTATTAATATATTTGGAAATGTCAGGTTGCAACAGGGCAGCTTGTTTAAATTCTTGGTGGATGCAGCAGCCTTGACCAGCACCACCAGCGTAAGATGCTGGAGATCCCTCAGTTTGTACCACTCCCTGCGCAGCACTGAACCCTGAACAGAGAAAACAAGTAAATGAAAACCAGCTTTTTCAGAAAATGATCCATAAAACTGGAGGTTATTACTGGAGAAAGTAGATGTATGTCACTGTCCAGGGCAGGGGAGGAGAGGAAATTTTTTTAAATTAAAAAAAAAGGCAAAAAGAAATTAAAAAAATGTCAGAATATTTATTTTAAAGATTTCTGAAATGAATCATTTTACCTTGCATTTTGAACTGGGTTTTTGTGGTTTAGAAGAGGATATAAGGTTAAAAACAGAAAGTTAAAGACAAAGGTTGAGTAACCCAAAGGCAAACGAAACATTTCATTTCAGCTGGAACTCAATATTTGGGGTTAACCCAGAATATTTTCCAGCTTCTGCTTGTTTTTTTTTGCCACCCTCCTCCTCCTCCCTCTACCCCTACTTCATGGTTGCTCGGTCCAAGCTATTTTTTCCCCGAGATATTTTGATTCAGCCACATAAACCAGACAGTCATCATTTGCTCCACATCAGTGACCTCCTCATTTCCAGCTGTCCATCGTGTCTCCACCCTCAGACCATCCATCCAGGGTGTTTTCAGCCCCACCAGAGGCTCGTTTCTTCAGCATGTCCCTTCACCCCAAGTCACACCACTAGAAATCCTTATCAAAGAAGTCATCAAAGAGAGAAATTCTCTCTGTCTTGGTTCTCACAAGCGTAGGTTTGCGGTAAATCTTTTCTTCCCTTTCCCACTCCTCAGAGCTTGTGCTGGAGGTGTCCCAGAACAGATCTCTTGTCCATGGCTCCCTGCAGAACCATGGGTCAAACTTCCTGCTCCTGTCTGGAGAGAGTTCAGCCCCATCATGTTGCCTGTAGAGTCCTCCACCCCATGTGTTTCCTTGAGGAGAAAAAAAAAACCACCATAATTTTGCAGAGCTGCATGGGCAGTCTCCTAGGGTTTAGCTGGAAATGGCGATGGGCAGCTGGAGGCATGTAAAGAATGTTTAATGGCTTTAAACTGGAAGAGGGGAGACTGAGATGAGATCTGAGGAAGAAATTCTTTGATGTGAGGGTGGTCAGACACTGGAACAGGTTGCCCAGAGAAGCTGTGGCTGCTCCTCCCTGGAATTGCTCAAGGCCAGGTTGGATGAGGCTTTGAACAACCTGGTCTAGTGGAAGGTGTCCCTGCTGATGGCAGGGTGGTTGGAACTGGATGAGCTTTAAGGTCCCTTCCAACCCAAACCATTCTATGATTCTATGAAAGAAGATTGAGATACCTGTAAGACCAGACCCCAGGCTCACAGGATCACAGAATGGTGGGGTTGGAAGAGACCTCAGATCATCTGGTCCAACCCCCCTGCTAAAACAGGTTCCCTACAGCAGGTTGCACAGGAAAGCATCCAGGCGGGTTTTGAACATCTCCAGAGATGCAGACTCCACCACCTCTCTGGGCAGCTTGTTCCAGTGGCTGGTCAGGGTACAGTGTAATACACTCAGGATTATATTTGGTGAATATAGAGTCTGGCAAGAGGCAGTATGGTTTTATCTCCAAGCAGAAGAGAGCTGAGATAAAGAAACATGAGGGAATAGGAGCAGCAAGTCTGTTCCCCTTTCTCCTGGTCAAAGTTTGCTGGCAGACAGGTTTTTCACTGATTTAAGCATTTTTACCCTCGGTGACACGTGTCCAGTGTGTGCCAAAGCCAACTGTCACGTGCACACTGTGGCAAACAAAGCAGAGCAGGGCTCGTGCCTTGGGGATGTCAGTACAAAGTGGCAGCTGAGATTCACTTTGATTTCCCCTTCACTGGGGACAGTGCGGTCACCTTGTGTGGCTTTTCCAACCCTTCCAGCCTCCATCAACCAATGCCCCAAAGCTTAAGTCAATGGCCACATTCAAACACTGCAGGTCAGTGCTCCAGATTTATGCTACGTCCTGCTCGCCCATCCTCGAGGAGTGTAGTGAATGCAGAGGTTCTGCTCAGTGTTTGCTGACATCGCTGTCACACAGACCATGCCATGCTCCCTCCTGCACGATGGCATGGGCTGCAGCAGGACAACCTGCCCGAGGGAGGCTGAGATCTGTTGCCATTAAATGAATTTCATCTGATGCGTTTTCACATCAGATGTTGAAAGTAACACAGAGCTAGGGCTGGAAATTGTCTAAGTGGAAACATCTCATCTCACTTACACATCACCCAGAAGGACGCAAATCTGTGATGGAAATTGCCTGGCTCTGGGCAGTGGGAAGTGGTTTCCATATAAAGCTAAACCTAAAAAATGAGTAACCTCAGTGACTGTAACATTTACCCCGTGGTCATTTAAGGATGACAGGAGTTCAGAGGCTACACCATGCACATGGTGGACCATGCAATGACAAAACCAGGAGTAAATCTCCTGCAGCTGTTGCTCAAGCAGCTCATTCTCCATTTCTTTCTCCTGCTGAGCCTGGTTCCAGCTCCCCAACGTGCCCAGAGATGCTTTGCTAGAGAAGACCTACTGAAAGGTTCAAGATCCCAAATGTATGTGGGTACCCTCCTTCCGTCCTTCACTCAGAGTGTCAAAGGGGAGAGACAAGGCTGACTCTTCTCCCAACAAAGAGTCTCACAAAGTCCCTGAAAATAACCAGTGATCTCAAGTCATCCAGATTTCCCTTTTTCTGCAAGGGAACATCACACTTCTTTTCTCCAAAGTAGAAAAATTTGAGAGATAACCACAACCTGGTACAGTAGAAGAGCTGTTCTGAAGCCCACCCTGCTTGACCCCAGCTGGAGATTTGAGCTAGCTGTTTGCACCATGTGCCCTGGTATATTTTCCTGGGGAACCATGCAGTTGTGTACCCACCAATGACTGCAGCTACCAGACGTTCAGCCCTGTGCTCCCTCCAGGAAGGGACCAGCTCCACGCCTGCACAAGGCAATCGCTGGGTCAGTGTGTGGCTGGGGCTTGGCTTCTGCTCCCCAGCTGAGGATGGATGGACGTTGTGGTGGAGATTCTGCCAGAGTGTCTTGTGCTTGAAGGAAAGCAGGCAGGGTATGTTTTAATTGGCAACTGCCACAGTGATCACTGTGATATTGTCACAGCCTACGTCCACCTGAGCATGTCCCCGGCAGGAGGTGTCAGGTGCTGGGGCAGAGAGCAAGGGGCAAAACATGGTGTAAGAGTTCACCTTCAGGCACTTATTTTCTATTTCTTTTTCTCCTTCACCTCTTTAACCATCATGTTGGTGCAGCTTCAGAGGTTCTCCCAGCCCACGTATGTTCACTGTATGCAGTCTATATGCTCACCTCCCTGATGGATCCCAAACTCTCCAAGGATGTGGGACCCCAGGGATAACTTCTGTCCTCACACTCACTTTGCCATGCAGGGGACATAGAATCATAGAGTGGTTTGGGTTGGAAGGGCCCTTAAAGATCACCCAGTTCCAACCCCCCTGCCATCAGCAGGGACACCTTCCACTAGACCAGGTTGCTCAAAGCCTCATCCAACCTGGCCTTGAACACTTCCAGGAAGGAGCAGCCACAACTTCCTTGGGCAACCTGTTCCAGTGTCTGACCACCCTCACAGGAAAGAATTTCTTCCTAATATCTCATCTAAACCCACCCTCTTCCAATTTAAAGCCATTACCCCTTGTCCGATCACTACCTACTATATGTGGGAGCAGCTGAGACTCTTCTGCCTGTGGGAACCTGCTCCTGCAGAGGCCTGACCCTGAGGACTTTGCTTTTATGCCCCTATGGCTATTCCACAGCTCTTAATCCACATCTACTCAGGTCTGTTTGGATGCTATCAGAGAAGCAGCCCAGAGACCTGCATCCCACTCTGAGCCATCCCAGCCTTGCAACCACCTCTCACTGCTTGGCCCCCTCAATCTTTGAACTTGCACTGTGTCACAGTAGGAGATGGAGCGGTGGAAGCATCTTCCATAGAGAAATTTCCCTGATGACATTTAAGAGGCTGGCAAGTTTTACATCTCCTTGGAAAATTATTCCACTTACCGTGATTGTCTCCATGAAAACGCTGATTGTGCTCAGCAGGGACGAGGTCTTGGCTTTCGGTGCTGTTGCCTCTCTGGAGAGTGTCGAGGACTTTCTTTGGGCTGAATTCCTTGATTTTTTGTTTGTTGATTTTTGCCTCCCTGTGGAGATTTCTCTTCAGCTCTGCCTGGGTTTGCAAACGAGTCATCAACACAAGCAGCAGAGGAGCAAACACGTTTTAACAGCTCGACGCGGCATATCATTAGGGGGTTGGCACTGAAAATAATTACACAGGCGAGTAGTTTAACCAGGGCAAATGGTATTTGCCAAACTCGGTATGTGAGAGAACATGACCCAGACAGAGTTTTTTTCTTTAGTTATTTCTCCATGGGCCAAATGAGAGCAAAGCATTGCAAAGATCAGAAGTAATTACTAATCACAGGGACCCTGGGGATGCTCCCCACCTTGCCTCTGCCTAAACCACCAGGAAAGCTTCATTTGCTCTTTCCACCAACAGGTTTTAGACCTCTTGGTCCATGGGAGAGACGCTGGGGATGGGCAGACCCTTGTCTGAGAAGGGAAGCCCCAACCTCTCCCCAAATCCATCTCAGTTTTACCTCTCGACGCCTGCGGGTCAAGTCCAGCATCTGCAGCTTGTGTAAGTGCTGCCGCCCTCCAGGGAGGTGTCTCAGGCTTTGCCCCCTCTTCTCCACAGCCTACGAGGTGTTTAAAAATGTAAATAAATACACCTGCATCTTCTGAAAGAGAAAGGAACAGCCACCAACCAGCAAATCTGTGCCCAGCCCCTTGGGCACTCCCCGGATAAAGGCAGTGAGCGTCTCCCTGCGTAGCCAACGTGCAGTTAATTTATCACAGATTTCCATTCCACTTGCAGTTTATCTCACAGCTCTGGGGCATGATGGGGAAAAAAAATCTTAATTAAAACAATGTATACATGCTTCTTCCCCCTTGAGGTGTTACTGCTTTGAGTCAGCTGTCCAAGATAATCTCATGATCCAAAGGGAGGAACCACTTTTGCACGTTTGGAGTTGCGTGGGATGTTTATGGCACGCGGCACCTGCAGCTTTGTCCCTACCGACTGCGAGCAATGGGTGTTCGAGTTGCTCAGCCATTTGAAAAAGTGGTCCTCAAACCTTTAGCCTCAAATATATTTAAGGTCCTGGCTCAGCAGGTCCCTCTCCTCATCCAAGGAACTGTCATACTGCAGATTCCAAAACTTTTCTCTTATTTTATATCCTTTCACCCACGCATTGGTGCTGAAACCAGCTCCTGGGCTTAGCCAGGGATGGGAGAACAGCGGGTGTAAAACACCAACTTGTGTTCTTTGTCTCTTAGAGGTGCCTGAACCACGAGGGAAAGGAGCCTACAGCCAGCAACCACCCATGTACGGGCCTCGACCCATGCACTTACCTTCAGTTTTGGGCTTACAGCCAGTTCTTGCTGACTCCAGGGCTTTGCAGGAGCGATTGTTTGTGGAGGGCCAGCAGGTTCAAGCCTCTACAAGTCCAACATTTATAATATTCAGCATTGCTTATTTCACACAATCATAGAACCTGATCTGAAACTACCTTGGCATTTTTCCAGCTCCAATTCTGGCCCAGTTGCTTGTGATACAGGAAGGAGACTGGCATCTCTAGCAGATGCTCAGGGAGATGAACATCTCCTGAGGTGCTTCAGGAGTGGACAAAACTGGGGGAATCTCCTACATTAGAGTCAAAGCAGCAAACAACCATTTTGACTTTAGCTTCATCCCTGTAGGTATTTCTCTTTGAGCCTCAATGATACTCAAGGCTCCAGCCAAGACCAGAGTGAAGACAAAACCCAGCCCAGATTGCTTCATGTTGAAACTGAAGCATGGAGAAGTATCATAATTTAATATAAAGTCTCCTAGCAGGTCATCCAAGGGCAGATCCCAGATACTATAAAGTCTCCTAGCAGGTCATCTAAGGGTAGATCCCAGACATATGAGACACAGAGCACCATTCCCTCTGTCCAACCAGTCTCTTTTATGTTGCCTTGAGTAGAACCTTTCTCTGCAGGACTGTGCATGGTACAAAGCACCTTTCCTGGTGGCTAATGGGAACAGAAAGACTTGCTTTATCCACTTCTCTGAGCATGGATTTTTATCTTAAGGATCTAAGTTGTCAGTTTAAATTGTGCCAAGGTACTAGATGATACCGGCTCATTTCAAGGCTTGCTATTGCCAGTGTCCCCTTCTAGGGTGGGACCAACTTCCATAAAAATTAAGGGGAACATCATGAAGGACTTACCTCAAACAATGCTACAGGCTTGGACCCCATGCAACACTGCAGGCGTGGGGAAGGGCAGCTGGAGAGCTGCCTGGCACAAAAGGACCTGGGGGTGTTGGTCAACAGCAGCTGAACATGAGCCAGCAGAGTGCCCAGGTGGCCAAGAAGGCCAACAGCATCCTGGCCTGTATCTGAAACAGTATGACTAGCAGGACCAGGGAAGTCATCCTTCCCCTTGTACTGGGCACTGGTGAGGCTGCAGCTCGAGTGCTGGGTTCAGTGTTGGGCCCCTCACTCCAAGAAGGACATGGAGGTGCTGGAGCGTGTCCAGAGAAGGGCAACGGAGCTGGGGAAGGGTCTGGAGCACAAGTGTGCTGAGTTCCCGGCTGAGGGAACTGGGGTTGTTGATCCTGGAGAAAAGGAGGCTGAGGGGAGACCTTATCACTGTCTACAACTGCTTGAAAGGAGGTTGTAGCAAGGTGGGTGTGTGTCTTCTCTTCCAAGTAGCTAATGATAGAACAAGAGGAAATTGCCTCAAGTTGTATCAAGGAAGGTTCAGATTGGTTGTCAGGAAAAATTTCTTCACTGAAAGGGTTCTCAAGCATTGGAACGGGCTACCTAGGGAAGTGGTTGTCACCAACCCTGGAGGTATTTAAAAGATGGGTAGATGAGGTGCTCAGAGATATGGTTTAGTAGTGGACAGGTAAGTTTGGACCCAGTGATCTCAAAGGTCTTTTCCAACCAAACGACTCTTTGATTCTATGACTTCATCAGTAAGACCTGACTGATACTTGATGTGGGACATCATTAACCTCCTGAATATGAGCTAGAGGGTCCTCTAAATGGTGACATGCCTCTGACTGTCAGCATTGAACTGCTGCCAAAGCCTGAGCAGTAATTTTGAAGCGTCCTGTAAGTCAATGCAGTAACATGGGAGGAAAAAAGGCAGCAGCAACATGTCAAGGAGACATCCCCCATCAGCCCCAACAGCCAAGTTTATATGTCTTTCAGGATCAAAAAAACCTCACAAAACTGAATATGAAGCTTAAAAAATGGCACTAGATGGCAGCATGTGACACCACAAACTGTGGTCCAGGCTGTGGATCACTCCTAGGTGCCACCAAGGCAGCCAGCTCACTGTTGACATTCCCTAACAGCAATGGTAGAAGCAGGAGGCAGGATCAACAGCATTGTTACTCCTGCCATGAGCATTATCAGCGTTTTTATAATCCATAAATACACTCGTAATGGAAATAAGATCAATGACTAAAAACTACATGCTGGGAGGAGATTGTTAAATGAGACTGTGATTCCATGCGATAGTTCACTGGGTGTAGCTGGGCTCATTCCAGGTGCCTCACCCTCCCACCAAATCCAGGGACACATTATTCAATAGTTGGTAGCCACCTGTGGTCTCTGAAGTCACCAATCTTGGCCAGAGCTGCAGCCTGGCTGGTGGCTCCTCTGTTCTTTATTATATTAAAAAGACTTTAATCACAGCAAGGAAGGCTTGAGCAAAGCAGCCCAGCTTCAGCTTCAGAGGGTTTGCTGTTGTGGGCCATGTGTAGAAGGTTTTTACAAGAGCAAGTAGCAATAGAATGAGGGGTGATGGCTTGAAACTGGAAGAGGGGAGATTGAGATGAGATCTGATGAAGAAATTCTTTCCTGTGAGGGTGGTGAGACACTGGAACAGGTTGCCCAGAGAAGCTGTGGCTGCTCCTCCCTGGAAGTGTTTAAGGCCAGGCTGGATGAGGCTTTGAGCAACCTGGTCTAGTGGAAGGTGTCCCTGCTGCTGGTAGGGTGGTTGGAACTGGAGGGTCTTTAAGGTCCCTTCCAACCCAAACCATTCTATGATTCCACGAAATAAATCTCTTTCATGGGTTCAACAACCAAGAAGTGCATTTGCCTCTGTTTTTCCCCAGTCACTGACCACTGAGGACTCCCTCCAGCCACCTAATTAGGCTGCTGATGTGCCCTGTGCAGCTGGGTTCTCTTAGAAGGGTCTCAGCAGCAGGTTCAACATTGACCCTTAATTGCTAATGAAAAGTTGAGGCCAAATAAGAGGGGTGGGGGGTATTTCTAGCAGTTGAGTGCTTCTTTGAGTAGGATGCCCTGCTGCACCCATGCTTGGAGAGGTCTGCTTGAGTTGTCCTACTTCCTTGTCTGATTTTTTTTTTTTCCCCTCTGAGCCCTCTTTGCCCTCGGTTTTGGAGCCCCCAGGCCTGGGTCAGCAGCAGAGAAGAAACACAGTTGAAACCTCAGACTGGGGCTCTGAAGGAGGAAGATCTGAGAAGCAAAACTGGGGAGCTGCAGCTCTGGGGCATCCAGAGCTGAGTGTGGTGTTCCCCAGTGTTCCTCCTTGACCCTCTGTGGACATGTAGGGAAGGAGAGAGAACTCAATCTTGGCCAAACAGTGACGCTTTGCTTCTTAAATAGCAAGCAGGTAAGAGATGGGAAGTTGGAAGTGTTGCTGGCTGGTTTGGGAGGGTGTGGGGAAGCCATGACAATGCAGGTGGAGCACAGAAAGCAGTGTGCTTCTCCACGTTTGGGTTTTAAATAACCTGATTCATGGCAAGAATGGTGCAACCTCAGTAATGCAGCTCCAGTTTAGCCCTGTGAGCATGTGACAGCCTGAGCCTCACCTGGGTTTTATATTCTATAAAAGCATCAGTGCGTAAAAATATCCCAGAATCACAGAATGGTGGGGTTGGAAGGGACCTCAGGAGATCATCCAGTCCAACCCCCCTGCCAAAGCAGGTTCCCTACACCAGGTTGCACAGAAAAGTGTCCAGGTAGGTTTGGAACATCTCCAGAGATGGAGACTCCACACCCTCTCTGGGCAGCCTGTCCCAGGGCTCCAGCACCCTCACAGGAAAGAGTTTTTCCTTAAGTTTGTCTGGAACTTCTGGTGTTCCAGTTTGTGCCCATTGCCCCTTGTCCTGTCACTGGGCACCACTGAAAAGAGCCTGGACAGAAAATGCATGTGGAGGACTTCTTGTCACCTTTTTTGTTTTCTTTTTAAATGAAGCAGCAACTCTAACTCTTGTGCAGCATGGTACACTGGCTGTGTTTTCTTTCCTTCTTTGCAGTAAATTATATGGCTATAAATATGGTTTTGGAGCTTTAGTTATGTTGTGATAACTCTAACGTGGGCAAAAAGCCAATTGCCAGGTGAGGCAGAGTCATGGATTTCCAGACTTGGAGGGGAAGGGATCTGGGAAGTGCAGGATGGGACAAGGAAGGTCACGGAGGAGTGAACGAGGGTGTTTTATGTTTGTTTGGGGGAGGATATTTTTTTATATCTAGATAAACAGATGTACGTGTGTATATATATGTGAGGGGAGATGGTGAAGGTACATGTAGGTCCACAGCATGCACAGCAGTTCTTGAAACCTAAAATAATTGCTCTGTACTTTCACCAGTCCCTATTGCAAAGCATGGCCTTACCTGTCACTCTGTCCCTGAGCTGATGCCAGACCTTGATGGGATCATAGAATCGCTTGGTTGGAAAAGACCTTTGAGATCATTGTGTCCAAACATACCTGTCTTGGCCACATTAGCACCATGGAAGCACTAAGATTTGGCTGCAGGTACTCAGATATCACAAAGGAAAGTGGGTCATTATAGGAGAGGTGGCCTCACAGCCAGCACTGCGACATGTGTCCTTGTTGGATATCTCCACAGCACACGAGGGCTGGCCAGTGAGGCACAACCCATGGAGCCAGGCAGGAGGGCAAAGTCAGGGCCTTGCTGCATTGGCCCTTCTTTGGCTGTTCTTAGAAGGTGAAGTCCTCTTTCTTCTGCTAATGAACCAAAAATAACCTCTCTGCAGTCAAAATACCTGCTCTGCCACAGGTATCAAACTTAGGCTGGTGATAAGTTCATCTAGGGATGATCATCTAGAGGTAGGATCTCCTACTTGCATTGCTCCAGGCTATTTGTTTCCCCCACCGTGGTGCTGTGAGATGTGCCCTTGTCCCCAGGAAAGCCCATATCAACCCATCAATCAGAACAACTCATAGGGAACTTTTCAAACTTGTCTTACTTGAGGTCTTCGAGGCGGATGCTGTTTAATGATGCTGGTTTCTCCCTTTTCCAGCACAGTGTTGAAGGAAAGGGGCCCTTAAAGATTGGAGAAGAAATGGATGAAGTTACCTTTGGGTGATCAGGAACTGCTAGGCTGTACTCAGCAATAATTTTCTGCCCTTGCTTTTTGGCTGACGTGTCCTACTAATGTCTCTCTTGGTGTACCCCAGTACCACGTGGTAGAAGTTATTCTATTAGCTGCAGAAATAAAGTGAGGAGGTACCTGTGGTTTCTAACAAATGTCTGCCCCATACCTCTCCTGCTTCCCTCTACAACCTCTCAGGCATCCTGTATGTGACAATAACTACCCTCCATGTCTTCTGGGGCCTCCTCAAGCTTTGAAAATGAGGAACAGGCAACAGTTTGGATCTTTTCTTGTTGCTTAGTCCCTCATACTTTATTGTTGTTATTTTTTGGTGGAACTGAGAAACATCTCTGATGCTTTTACTGACCACAGCAGAGCTACAGCCAGACAATGGCTTCAGAAGTTGGTGGGTTATGGAGAGACAAGTGGTACGATCACAAACCCTCATTATCTTTGGAAATCAGCCCAAAATAATGTCCTGCACACCAGCAGTTGCCTGTTAGTTATTAAAGTAGTGCCCTCACTGAGGTCTGAACGTGATCTGGGCTCAGGGCCATTCTGCACTGATGCTCTCACTGCTTTTTTTTTTGTTGGTTTGTTTTTTTTCCTTGCATGTGCAGTAAGTATTTATTTTCCAAAAAAGTTTCTTTATCCCACCTATTCTCCAAAAAACCTGTCTTGGTGCATTCAAATGCCGATTTATATGTGGAGCTGAGCAAGGTGTTGCTGAGCAGCTCCTGTTCCCATGTGGTGGGAGGCCCAGAGTGGCAGCAGGGGAGGAGAATTAGGGCTAAAGTGCAGGAATTACATTATAGTTGATGCCAAATTAAATAGTTATTTTAAAAATAAGAATTTGGAGGTCATCTTATGGGGGTCTCCAGTGGAACCTTTCAATGAGCCCCATGGAAGCTTGCCAAGGAGGGCTCTTGGAGAAGAGGGAGAGAAGGTGATGGAGGGAGGGTGGGGGGGTATGGGAGGAGACAGTGACTCCATGGGATAAATTATTTCTGGGCTCTGCTGAGCACGGGCAATGATTAACCACTGATCACAGCTCACGGCTGCTCCACACACATGGGAATGGGTGTCTGAAGTGAAAATTTCCAGTGCAGGTGGCTCTGCCAGAGACAAACTTCAGCGGCTGGGGAAGACAAGCTGAAATAGCAGCTTGTCATAGTAAAAAGGAGCTTTAGGAAGTTACTGTCTCTCAATCTGCAGGACAAATCAGTGCATAAAGAATTTCTAAGGGGGAAGGAAAATGTAAGGAAGTAGCTCATGGGGCTGGAAATGTGGGACCTGGCAGAGGCAAGAGGTTGGGGGTTGGGACAAGTTTGTTCTGGTGAGGTGTATGGCTTTCTGGAAGTTATTTCTCCCTTATGATATTCTTTTTAAAATATATATATTTAAATTATTTCCTCTCATCCTATCCACACATGTGTCTTGGAGGAGGTTTGCCCTTATCCCCTACAGATACAGAATTGGGAGCCAAGTTCTTGTTGTCCCTAAACCTACTCTGTCCTGGGGTAGGGGGAGTCCCTGGCACACCTGAAGGATGCTGGCTGGGAGGACCATTGTTCCACCACACAGCCACCACGGAGGGAGCATGGGGCCCAAGCTGAAGTCATTCTTGTGACACCTATTTTTTGCCCTTGCACTTTAGTGGCAGCAGATTCTCGCTGCTGGAAGAAGTGGGACTTAACACAAGCCCAGATGAACCCTCATAAACCAACTGAAACCTATTCCTTTGGAAGCTTTGCTCATTTAGACAGCAGCTCAAGCTGATACATTGCTCAAGTGCTCCTGAGCATCCACTTTTTATTTCTGAAAATGAAAAGTACTAGAAAATTACATTTATTGAGGGATTTTACAAGTTTTTATAAAAACACGCATTTTTCACAAGCACTTGTTAAATGCCCAGTGATAATAATTTTCCAGAAGAGGAATATTTGGTTATTCTCTCTGTTACAAAGTACTTGAAACCTTTTGTTCTACAGCCAGACTTGATCTTTATTCACCCCAGGAGCTCTGGCTCCGGGAGCATCACTGCTATTGTGCCAAAGGTTTATTTGCTTTTACTGTCTCCTGACGCCTCTTGGTGGATGGTCCTGGAGGAAATATCCAGCCCCTGGTGAAGCAGCGGTGCTTAACTGTGTCAGAAATTCATTTTTGGAAATGGAAAAGAGGGGAGGAGAGTGCTAGGGCTGTAGATCCCCCTTCCTCTCTCAAACCACGTTGGTGTTCATGGGGGTTTGTCCCTACACTCACCTCATGTGGCTGTGGGAAGCTGTTTGTCACCATCCAGCTTGTTGTATAGAGCATTTTCAGATGGGTGCAAACTTCCTTCCTTGCCTCCAGGTAGGGCTCTTGGGTACGGATGGGGCTGGGAAG